TAGAACCAGTTTATGATAATTTTTGGAATTTGAGCGCACCGTTACAAGCATTGCGTAACGATGGCAATTGTGTGGATCCGAAAACCCGGGCTTTGTCACTCAGTCTGAAACGACCACGTTGGGGAACGTATGTGTGCACTGTACCTAATGAACCAATACACCCGGCAAATTTTATCTGGTACCATGTGGATAATGTGGAATTCACACGTGGCAAATCCAGTCCGGTCTCATTCACACATCCGAACAATTTGCCATTCAAAATCGAAAACGAACACAGCTTCAACAATCTGCAGGCCAAAGCTTTTCGTCATCTGAGAGAATATAAAGGATGGAAGGAGGAAGAAAAAGGACCATTCCGAATCACCACGCGGATGTCTAGACTAACCAGTTACATGGATCGTTGTGGTCTGGCTGAAATGCGTTTAATACGACGATGTTACGTGCGTATCCCAAGCAAACGACCGAAAGCGGTGGAAAGAGATGCGATGATGCAAATGTATGACGTGTTACGCGAAGCGTTCGACTTTCTGGTTGCTTTTCGTCTGACAAACACCTCGGCCAGTCGTCTCCAAGAGCAGAACACAAGACGACGTGTGGAATCGTTGGGTTTCCAGTTACACGGGAACGGGACCTATTTGTACATTCCTTGTGAGTATAGTCTATTTAAACATTTGCTGGCATTTACCTCCATGTTTCGTGGATTTCCGAAAATCAGTTATCATTTGGACGTGCGATATGAAATACTGTGCAGTACCAATCAAATACATGTTCACCATCATCTGGCCACTGTGAAATACGAGTTTGAAGGAAGAAACGAAACAATAACCGATACGTTGGGCAATTATCGATATCTAAAAGCGGTACGACTTGTGAATGAAAATCAGCGAAATTACATACTGAGTTGTGCAACAAAAACCCGGCTGAATTGTAACAAACGAAGACCGGATGCGATTTGGCGCGCGGGAACTGGAGTGACGTTTCAATTTGTGAATAATTCCAGTGAGAATATCCGCATTCAGCCGGATTGTACATTGCTGTTTCACATCGTGCATCTATTCGAAGAGGACACCTATTACTGTCACTTGAGAAAGATGGATGTGTACAATCCGGGACAAATTTGGGCTGTTGTGCCACGGATTGCCTACCGAATATACATTCAACCAGTTCCAGTACGCTGGCCTCAACGTGTCAATCTGATGATCGGTTTAGTGATTCTGATGCTCTGGTCCAGTTTCATAACTGGGATCTGGGTTGTGCTCAACTGGTTTGACGCGACCATCCGTTCAAAAGCGGACTTGGAAGCTCGAAAGAAAGAAGCCGGTGGACGAAATGAAATGCTCAGAAAGCTTTATCGACCCCATATGGATGAGGATCGTATACTATTCTTCAAACTGATAAATGCAGCTTCAGGTCGTATATCTCAATCAGATGCTTCGAAAATCTAAGGAATGATTATTTGTATCGATAGACTAGGTGGTCAACCTCCGAAGCGCTGATTACCGAACCATCATACTTTGTGGAAAGGTCGGTGGGGTGGGGGGGGGGAGTGGAATCTGTTCTGACTGGATGTGTCAAGGGAGCTCCCATACGGAGGAGTGGGGAATTGGACCCGAGATGATGCAGAGTGATCCACATAAATCGAACCCATGAATGCTTGTCGCTGCTCACGTGGCAGTGGGGAGACTGCGGTGGAAAATAAGCCCTGCCTATCAACAAAAATGAGAGCGGAAAATCCACTGATCATAGATGAGCGCAGTGAACTGAGCATTAGAATGAAGAAATGGAATTGTTCATATGGGTATACTATCTGAAATTTGATCATAAAGAATACAGACATGTATTTTGTCCTTCAACAAAACAAATAATCTTTGTCATCACGGAGATTTTATGGAATATTTTAGTTACCAACTAAAAGCAAGTAATCTTTAAATAACGTACTTTTCATTCATATGAACAAAAGGTCACGTGTGGTCAATAAAATTTGACTAATTGAAAAAGCCTCATACCTAGACTATTGAGGTTGTAATATGCCCACATAAACGTCCGTTCACAATGTACAATCATTAGTCATACATTTTTGTGCAGCGGTTTTAGTTGCTGCCTTTGGGTTGCTCATGTGGATGAAGGGATCGGAGGAAGATTGGAAATTTGAAAGTAGATTCGAAGAGGAAATAGAGAATTCAGGTAGACTAAA